CCAAGTTGCCCAGGCAGGTCTCAAACCCACGGGCTCAGGCAGTCCACTCACCTCAGCCTCTCAAGGCGTGGGATTTACAGGCTGAGCCACCGAGCCCGGCCAGAAAAACATTTTTAAAAGTTGCTAAATAGCTGGTCATAGTGGCTCATACCTGTAATCTCAGCACTTTGGGAGGCAGTGGTGAGAGGATTGCCTGAGTCCAGAGGTTCGAGACTAGCCTGGGCAACTTGGCGAGACCTCGTCTCTACAATAAATCAAGAAAAATTAGCCAGGCGTTGTGGCGCATGCCTGTAGTTCTAGCTACTTGGAAATATGAGGCAGAAGGATTGCCTGAGCCCAGCAGGTTGAGGCTGCGGTGGCTGTGAGCGTGACACTGCACTACAACCAGGGCGACAGAGTGAGACTTCTATTCAAAAAATAAAAGTTGCTAAATACTGTTTTTTTCCATTGTTTTTTGGGTTTTTTGAGTTGGGGTCTCATTCTTTCGCCCAGGCTGAAATGCAGTGGCATGATCATGGCTATCATGGCTCATAGTAGCCTTAACCTGGGCTCATGTAATGCTTCTGCCTCAGCCTCCCGAGTAGCTGGGACTACAGGTGTATGCACATTTTTGAGGTCTCACTGTGTTGCCCAGGCTGATCTTGAACTCCTCAAGCAATCTGCCGGCCTTGGCCTTGCAAATTGCTGGATTACAGTCATGAGCCACTGTGCTCAGCCATGTAATGAATTTTTACCAATTGATGAGAACCTACCGGTTCCTTGCCTGTGGAATTGTCTCATATCAACAGTTCATCTGTTCAGTCACTCGGCAAATATTACTTCATATATTGCTGTACTGGATACTGTGGGAGATTTTTTTTTTAAAGTAACCCTCAATCCTTGCCTTCAAGGAACTGAGTTTAGTTGAGAGGGTCAGTGGTACCCAAGATAAGTTTTAGCTGCGAGGAGGCAGGACTGCCTGGGAAAGCCTCATGGGAAGGAGAGTCTGAGGTGGGCAGGGTTGGAGAGGGGAGGATCAGTTCTCATTCCTGATGGAAATGAGCTGACGTCTGCTGTTCAGAAAGGAACCCAAAGTTCCACACAGTGATTTTGCAATAGAATATTATCATGTTTACCAAGCGATTCTGAGGAAACAGCTAAAATAAAATGTGACAGTTTAGCAACTCAGGAGAACTCACGGGTTGGAATGAGCTTTGACTAAATTTAATGTTAGAAGCAACACATGTTCTTCTCATTTTTAAGGCAACTTTGAATAAGTGCGATGGCGACTCTGGTCAACGGGGCCCACAAGGATCCAGACCTGTGGTCCTCACATGATAAGATGCTGACACAGCCCCTCAAGGACAGTGACACTGAGGTGAGATTTGTGGAGTATTCACATGCTTTTAGATTGGAGGCCTTTGTTTAGATTTCTAGTTCTAATCATGAAGTCACTTTATTAGAGAAAGGCTTGCAATTAATTTAAGCATGCCAGATTTTGAGGCAGTGACTGACAAAGTAGCTAAAAGTCCTTTGAGGGGGGATTTAAAGATTTCTGAGTTTCTGCAAAGTGTGGAGCACTGTGCTGGGTACTCTGGAGGAACCTGGAGGAGAGGGCATTGAGATTGGAATCTTGCCTTACATTTCACGGGGTGTATGTATCTGTCTGGACGACTGGAAGCATACTTGCTTACATATATATATATGTAAACTATATATATATATGTAAACTATATATATATATATATATATACATATATATAAAACAGTTTTATTGAGATATCACTCATCCTGTAATCCAGGGGGTTTTAGTATATTCACAGTTATTTGTAGAACATTTTGATACCTCCCAAAGACTTTGAACCCGTTAGCGGTCGCCCTGTCTTTCCTTAACTCCCCAGCCATGGGCAATCACAAATCTACTTTCTTTCTTTATGAATTTGCTGAAGTGTTTTCTCTTCAAGGAAGAGGAACACAGAATAAGAAGAGAAGAGAGAAACTTGGTGAAATGTAGGGGTAAACATAACAGGTTTCTGAAGTTTGGGCTGTGGTGTTAAAAAAGAAAAAAAAAAGCATAGTACAGAATTAAAAATTAAGTGGAATACCGGCAGATAACCCTCTCTTGAATCCTTTTGGCTTCCTGAACTCCTTGCCTTCTCTTAGCTATTTCCCAGATGCTGATGCCTTGGAGGAGAATCCTTCTATCCCTTAAGTATTACGGGAGTTGTCTTCTTTTTTTTTTTTGAGTTGGAGTCTCACTCTGTCGCCCAGACTGGAGTGCAGTGGGCGCTCTTGGCTACCGCAGTCTTGACTGCTGGGCTCCGGCGATCCTTCTACCTTAGCCTTCCAAATAGCTGGAACTACAGGTGCACGCTACCACACCCGGCTAATTTTTTGATTTATTGTAGAGATGAGGTCTCGCTAAGTTGCCCAGGCGGGTCTCGAACCTGCGGGCTCAGGCAATCCACTCACCTCAGCCTCCCAAGATGCGGGATTACAGGCTGAGCCACCGAGCCCAGCTTCTTCTTCTTCTTCTTCTTTTTTTTTTGAGTCTCACTCTGTCACCCAGGCTGGAGTGCAGTGGCATGCTCACAGCCACCACAGTCTCGTCCTGCTGGGCTCAGGCAATCCCTCTGCCTTAGCCTTCCAAGTAGCTGGAACTATAGACACGTGCTACCACGCCTGGCTAATTTTTTTTATTTATTGTAGAGACGAGGTCTCACCAAGTTGCCCAGGTTGGTCTCAAACTCCTGGGCTCAGACAGTCTTCTTGCTTCAGCCTCCCAAAGTGATGGGATTATAGGCTTGAGCCACTGCGCCTGGCACGGGAGTCTTCTTAATATGGTATTTAGGGTAGGGTCAGCTTCTGAGGGCACAGAATGCGTTTGCAGCAGTGTCTTTTTGCTTTAGAAGATTATGGCTTTGATCAGAGTGAAATTTTCAACACAAATGTCCAAATATCTAGCATCTATTTTCTTCTTAAAAGGTTTACAACATTATTAAGAAGGAGAGTAACCGGCAGAGGATCGGATTGGAGCTGATTGCCTCCGAGAATTTCGCCAGCCGGGCAGTTTTGGAGGCCCTAGGCTCTTGCTTAAATAACAAATACTCTGAAGGGTACCCAGGCCAGAGGTAGGTGAATGTTTTCAAAGGCTTGCTTCTGGCACAGTGATATGGAGTACTGAGTCAGTGTAGAATCCACATGGTTTGGAAATTTCAGAGAACAGCAAAATTTGCAATCATGGTATTTCCCTTTCATTCCTGCTCTCCGACATAACCCTTTTATGATTCCCAGCATGTGATACTACTGCTATTCTTGGAGCAGGTGTACTCAGGGACAGATTTAGTAGTCCTCATGGGGCTACCTAGAGCAACAGGCCAGAAGTAAGAAGTATTGAGCCGCCCCTTGTCGCGTCCCTTGTCCAGAAAAGGTCAGTGTTCTCTGAGGGATACTGAGGAAGAAGGTTGTTGCCATGTGAGTCATCGAGTCTGTATCGGTAGCGGCAGGGAATTGAAAGCTGAACCCAGAACCTGGAAACTGAGTTATAAATGTTGGATTCACATAGGCAGTAGCTTTCAGCCAACCCTCACCCCATGGATTACAATGTTGTAGTCGTTTTTGTTTTTCACAGTTGTCATCGGGCAAAGAAAATAAATTACAGAATGAGACATAGTTTTTGCAAATTTGTCCTTTTTTTTTTTGAGTTGGAGTCTCACTCTGTTGCCCAGACTGGAGTGCAGTGGCCGCTCCTGGCCACCGCAGCCTCGACCTCCTGGGCTCCGGTGATCCTTACACCTCAGCCTTCCAAGTAGCTGGAAGTAGGCGTGTGCTACCACGCCCGGCTGACTTTTTGATTTATTGTAGAGATGAGGTCTCACTGCCCAGGCGAGTCTCGGACTCGTGGGCTCAGGCAATCCACTCACCTCAGCCTCCCAAAGGCACGGGATTACAGGCTGAGCCACTGAGCCCGGCCCTTTTTCTTTTGAGTTAGAGTCTCACTCTGTCGCCCAGGCTGGAGTGCAGTTGTATGCTCATGGTCACCCCAGCATCGACCTGCTGGGCTCTGGTGATCCTTCCGCTTCAGCCTTCCAAGTAGCTGGAACTACAGGCACGTGCTTCCATGCCAGGCTAATTTTTAATTTATTGTAGAGACGAGGTCTCGCCAGAATGCCCAGGCTGGTCTTGAACCTGTGGGCTCGGGCAATCCACTCACCTCAGCCTCCCAGAGTGCTGGGATTACAGGTTGAGCCACCAAGCCTGGCCTAAAGAATTCTTTTTTTTTTTTGAGTTGGAGTCTCACTCTGTCACCCAGACTGGAGTGCAGT